CTCGCGGAGACCGTAACAGCAATAATGATAATAATGATAGCGCAGTGGTTCGCCCTCGAGGAGAGAAACAAAACCGCGGACGACGTCGGATCCAACCGATGCGTACCATGCGGTCATCGAAAATAATGCACGCGCACGTATACATATTTACATGGAACACATCTCGGGCGCGGCGCAACGAGAACAATATTAACGTTCCATTACAGCAATCAAAATATTGTTACTATTGTTGTTTTTGTTATTATTATTATTATTATTATTATTATTATTATTAAGTAAATACAGATCGATATAGGTCGGCGAGCGCGTACGGACCGAACGAAAAACACCGGTTATTATCATAGCACGCGTTTAACGCATACATAATATTGCGCGTCGGTTCAAGTATAATGTTTGTAATACGTTGAATCAACAACGGGCGCGCGGTCGTAAAATCCGTATAACCGTTTCCGGGATGGTATAATTTTAATTTTGTTGGTTTTACGGAGTACTGTGTTTTGACAACGTTTCGCTGTACACAACTAAACGCGCACGTGATTTCTCGCTTGTCGGTTGCACGAATCCCGTTACTGTGGATATATACGCGCACCTAACCCAATCAAAGTTTGATGCGGCGCCCTAGGTCTTGACTGCCCGTACGTAATAGTACCTATAGGTATTGCAATTATGTTTCGTTATCGATACGGCCTCGAGCTCTTATTGTTCGTGTTCTCGTAGACTTTCGTTCCGGGGCGTTCGTTTTGTTACCCGAAAGAAGACAGCTATAACCCAGCCCTTAATACAACGCGTAGCTGACCTGAGTTATGATGATCGGGTGCACGTGAGCTATGTGACCGTTGCTTACATGCATGAGAAAAAGAAAAAACGAGAAGCTAACAATATTATTACAATTTAAATGACGTCTTTGACTAGTTTCATTTTTTTAATTTTCAACAATAATAAAACAATAAACGAGTTTAAGGATATATAACGAACGCGGCGATATTTTTTTGTTGTCGGCCGTCGATTTTCACGGTGGGAAGTATATTTTCATTCTATCAATGCAATTTTATTTTCTATGACGAAGTAATTGAAGACTTTATTCAAAACCAAGCACAAATTATTTATCGTTTAATCAAAACTATATATTTTTATTAATTGTTAGTTAAATAAAAAGAGTCATAGGTACCTTTTATTCTTATGAAATATAGTAGACCGTATATTTACTAAATCTACATTTTCTACTAATTTTTCTGGTTACATTTCTCGAAATCCACTGTACGTCATTGATGATGAACCATAATTTTAAATAAGATTTCATCAACAATTTAATTATTAACAATTAAACAATGATTAAATTAATTTTAATTAGTAAATAATTTCTAGACATGAAAATATTTGCTAAAAAATAAAATCACTTTAAAAAAATTACGACTTTAATAAAACTAAAAATTAAAAAAATATTTATGAGAATCGATTTAATACGAAAATATAGCCGCGCGCGCTTCGCGTCGTATCATAAAAGCATAGTTTGTATTTTGACCGGATGCGTAGGATAACGCGAGCGACGAAAACTTTTTGTCGCCATATGATCAGTCATTTCTATCGTGACGTTTCCCAACTATTGCGCCGTGGTTCGAGATGTACCGATCGTAGAAAGCTGTTCGCGATCGTTTAAACTTTTCCGCCAGCGAACGACGTCTCATTAGCGGAATTAGTTTGTTGATGTTACAATAATAACTGTACGCGTACGGCGGAAAATCGTCAGTGTAATTTTTTCGATTGTTTGTACAAAGAATTTTTAAATTAACAAAATGTCGATTGTTATTCTAACAAATTATATTCGTTGATTGTTAAAAAAACTTAGCCCATCGATACAGCGGCCGTAATATTTCGTTCTGTGTCCGTGCATATTTTAATATAAACAAATAAAACGTTACGGGGTGTTGAATATAAAATTAGATCTCGGTCAGAAAAATATTTCTCGAAAAAAAAATCCCTTTATACATAAATTACACAACACGTCGTGTCTAATTAAATAAAACGCAAATGTTCAGTCAATATTAAAATGTGAAGTGTAATCATTTTAATATTATTCGGTCTATTATTACTTCCATCGCACGGAATAAAATTAATTCGTGAATTCGCAATGAGTAATCTTTCTCTCCGACATGCACGTACCTTGCGTGAATTGAAAATAAATTTGACAAATTTAACAAAATATTTTTTAAATCCCTTACGCGAAAAGTGTTGTGTACAGAAGAGTCTTGTTTCGAGTTGTTCTTTTTAGCGAACATAATACAATAAAATGCAATTATATCGCGCTCTTCGGGAAGCTTACAATTATTATCCACGAGCCATAATTTCTATTGCCAAGTGATGATTTACCGTCTGGGGTTGTTTTTCATCGCGTAATATAATACTCGAGAACGAGAAAATAATTTCCGCACGCTTTCATACGATTCGACATCACAACACACGTAGGATACGTCAGCAACATTATTGCTTCGACTTATTCGTGTAAATAAGACACTGCCGACATATCAATTTTCTCATTACATTTTACACCCGTATTATTATTACTATTATTATTAATATTGTTATTATTAATGTTATTATTATTGTTATTATTATTAATATTATAATTATTATTAAACATAATGTGATACCGTCACAGGGACAGGGGCAGGGGTGTGCACGCCAGATTTTGGCATTGCTGTCGTTGAAAACGCGTAGTGGTTCTTTTATTTTTATTCTTTTCGTCTTTGAAGGAAAAAGAATTAGGCTCGAGTCTAATATGTTCGGACGTTCCCGCGAGGGTCGCGCGGAAGGCAATATCCTCTTCCGGTGTCCCACCACCCGCACAGCCAGGGGTCGTGTTCGCGCGGACATTACGGCACCGGGAGATCGGGAATAACGCTAGTGTCCCATCACCGGCTGTATACTAGCCGTTCGGATCTCTTATTTCGTCGGACAGCTGAACGTATATTGTGCGATTATATATATGTATAGTATGTGTACGAAAATTAAACACGTTATACCGACAGATTGTTTGCTAACCATTTACCATTACGGACCACCGCAGCCGAAGCCACCACCGTCACAACCGTCCTCTGGGGATATCTAACTTTCCCGTACACTTGCAAACGAACGCTTGCGTATGTGCGTGTGTGTGTGTGTTAACCGTGTCACTATGCGATCACTAGCCTTGATAAAAAAAAAAAAAAAAAAAAAAAAGGGAAAAAGGAAAATATATAAACCGAGGCTTTGGTCGCTTTTCCGAAACGCGCGTAACCGTACGTACACGTTTAATATACCCGTGTACATACGTACGCACACCAGCACACCATCACGAGTAAAAGTGTAGGTACACAGACGAAGACATTGCGACGTACGGGAAACGCTTGGAATGTTTTACAACATATTTTTATGATACACTATCGCAGCAACTACGACTACTACTAATATATATTATAATATGCATGTTTACGTATGAGCGTGTGTGTTATTAAAACTAAACACTATAAGCATCTCGAGTTACACCGCCGACACGGTGACGGCGGTATTTCCGTCGGCCGTCGTTTTTCAAAGTAGATTTCTTGTGCCCCGTTTCGAATTCAAAGTTTTCGCGTGACGATTACAAATTCCGTCTCGAGGGTGCGCGAAACGATTAGAACGATTAAACACAAAATAGTTATTTACACAATTATTTGTGTACACACACACGCGCGCGCGCGTATAATATATATATATGCTCACACGTGTATACGGATCGGTAGCACACATCGTCTAGCTCGAACACTAATTCCAAAATTGATTTTATACGGTTTGCGACTCTAGACATCGCTTTTAACGTCCGCGCGTACGGTAGGCGGTGCGTTTTTGGACGCGAGCGTGCGTGCGTCGTTTGGTAAATACGATTCTGAGGATCACATTTCATGCGCTCGGATAACGCGAGTACTTTTAATTTACTATTGTTTATTTGTGTCCGACGCACCGTATATTATGCACCTGCACGACTACGTTGACATTATTTTTCGTGCCGTCCTCTGTTTACGTAATATCTCCGTTGCACGGCAGGAAGATAACTGCGACGCGGGGCGAAAGGAAAATAAAAGAACAACGCACGGTTTTATTAGATAACTTTCGAGAGATGCGATGATAAATTGTCAATGTGTTTGTTTTCGCTAAATGTAACCGTAATATTACATAATAATACGGCGCGAGAACGTTATACACATCGTTATTATGACAGTAAAAACAGATAGTCTTCAGTATTTTTATGTCTGCATTATACCTTTGTGTACCCTAAGCGAATTCGCAAGTAGACTGTTTAAATAATTGTTTTCTATTGATTCATTTTTAAATTCAACTGTGGTGTTGAGTCTTTTGAACGATGAGTAGTGACTAATGAGTACTTAGCTCATTGTTTAAAAAATCGTTATGTGATTAAAGTATAGCGTAATAGCATTGAAATCAATATTTCTTCATAATTTTAATATTTTTTAATCGAAAAAACGATAAAAACGTCTTACCTCTAAAACCAGAAAAAATATAATCATTTCAAGTCGGTTATAGTATAGATTATTCATAATTGCGCTTCAAGAGTTATTAAAAAAAAAAAAAAAAATCAAATAATGAAGCGGACTCGGTTTTTGATGGGGGTGGAATGTATTCTACAGTTTTACAGTCGTATTACAAACATTTGCTAATACTTATTCAATTGGTTTTTTATGTCATAACGAATCTACCGGGAGCACATATTTTCTTTGAAACTCACAGAATAAAAAATTATTGTAAATTGTGATTATGCATCTTTTAATATGAACAAAACAATAAATTCTTATTCATCACTTATAGCAATACTACTGTTCTATTTTGAATTATACGCTTAGCGGTTTGCAAATAAAAGTCTTCGTATTAACCTATTAACTTATTAACTTAACTATTAACTTATTAACCGTAAGTATACAGAGATGTCGATTTTACATTTTTAATATTTTTACAAATACGTTTCTTACCGGGATTGTAAACGAATCGTTTTGTGATGCTGTACGGTGTGTTCGGTATGATGAGTTTGCAAAAAAATATTGTTCGAGATGGCAACTCCGATTCGGAGAACAATGACGACACCGTGACATCGTATGCACCATCGTTTTGATAATCCAATATGTCGATAGGCAAAGTAGAATTCCTATTAAAATAAAATACGATATCATATTACTACATGTTCCGTTGTCGGCATACGAAAAACAAATTATAATATTATTATCCGGAACTCGGTGTATGGGTAGGTATATTATTAATAACTACTTACTTACGTACTCGATAAAAATACATTTTACCAAATCATTTTTATAGATTAAAAAGTAAATATGTTCAATAAACCAAAATTATATTATTTAATACATAATATTTAGCGTAAAATAAAAATTAGTAAATTATACGTATTATAACTATAAAATTGTGAAATTTAATGTACATTTTACAAGTTACAGTTAACAGTTACAAGATTTTAAGTTAAATTAATTAAGTTTCAAAATCATTATTTATCCTATAGTTGGATTTTTAGATTGTTTTTTTATTTTCCATTTTTATTTTATTTTTTTTTTTTTTTACCAAACACCTATTAGTAACCATAAAGAGAAATTAATGAAAATAATACACATATATTGGTTTTTTTACCCCAGAAAAAAATAGTTTTGATGACAAAAGTGATCATGACCCTTGTCAAAAAAAAAAATGTTTTATAAGCCAAATATAAATATTTTTTCAAAATGTATATAATTTATCAGTTATTCATTCATTAATATAAAATAATAAAGTTAAATAAAGTTAAATAAAGTGCTAATTTTTTTCTTTTAGGCAATTTAAGTTAATAGTTTTGTTTTAGAACTTTTTTACAGAAATGCAATACAATTAAATGCATGGTACATAACTATACAAAATAAAATTACATTTATAAAATATTTTTGACTATTTAGTATTATAAGTATTATATTCTTTAATCTACAAAATAACGAAATCTGTGAATAAATTATTTTTATTGAATCTAAAACGATTGTCAATATAAGTTTATAACCACATAATATAATATCTTTATTCTTCATACTCAACGTGAATTCGATGTTATTTCTGTTACTCGATATACGACTTCAAATCCTCATGGTTTCGAATTTCAATATTGATATTTTTTTCATCAATAAATTTGATCTTACAATGTCAGAAAATGAGAAAATGAATTTTTAAGTTTTTAATTGTATGTATATGTGTATACATACAACTATATTCTTTTACTTAGAAGTTGACTTTTGTTTCGCTTATAAATCCAATAATGATTTTAAATTTGAGAAAATGGTTTCATGTTTTTCTTTCAAAAAAAAAAAAAAAACATTTTCGCTGCACTTTAATTTTTACAAAAAATACATTTATAGCTTTTTACATCTAAAGAATTCTCTTTTGTTTCTTATTAGAAAAAAACATTTATTTTTAAAAATGTACTAAATGTTCAAGCAAACTACAAAAAGGTTTTTTGATTTTGAATTATACTTAATATACATACGGTATTTGTGTTCAAAATAGCAATACACTTTTTTTATTTACTATATAATGCAGTTGTAATAATTTTATTCTGTTATATGTACTTTTAATTGTATGTTAACTAAAGAAAACCTTTTTTAAGAACACATTTCTTTGACTTGGTTAATACGATTAATCTGTAATTGATTTATTTTTAAAATGTTTAAAATGAAACGAAATGAAACGATACATAATTATCATAATATTTCATAATAATTAATTTACTGAAATTTAATTTATAAAAGTTTTGTCTCAAAAAAAATCGTTTAATCAAGATGCAGAGTCTTACAAGTGCTAGTAAAGTTGGTTGATAAAAACTTACGAAAGCTGTTTCGAAAAAAGAAAAGTTTTCAAAAGCAAAACTGCAATTTCAAACAATAATTATAGATATAATAACAGACTGATAATTGTTAATATGCAAACAGACTATATTATACTAATATAATATACAACTATAATAATATAGTTACATTATTATAATAATGTAACTAAATTATTTTTTCTGTCGAGACAGCATTCAGTAATAATATTATGTTTACGTCAAATTTAACGTTCGGAAAAGTTTATTAATTTGACTTTATAATGTTGTATACAGCTAAAACATAATTAAATCCATCGCGAACATAAAATGTTTTTGGGAATTGGTTAAACCGTTCGACCCACTCTGTTTTCGCGTTAAAAAGAAAATACCAACTACCGAGCATAATAAATGAGTTTAATATAATGTTACGGTTTAAGAAAGAGTATTAGCGATATGCGGCAAGTACAACGAAGTAAATTGAAATTCACCGGAAAGTAAAAACAAAAATTTACAGTCATCGGAATGAAGAAAAATTTCGCAATTTTTAGAGTGCCTTTTTTCGTTGTGAATACTCGTTTTTCGATCGCTTTATCAGTCTTTGAAACGATTAGGTTTAAACAATTTAAAATCACAATGGATACATTACTTTTTTGTGGATAAAACAAATCATTCCTTCTTTTTTTTAAGTAATTATTTTTTTTTTTTTTAAATGTTACTGTAAAAAATCATAGTTGCTAATAAATTATAAGTGTTTCAAGTTAAGAAGAGCGAAATATATATAAGGTTTTAGCATTTTCAGGTTATTTTCTAACACTCCATTCTATCAATCGACTGAAATATACTTATGAATTATTTATTTATTGGTTCGACATTCGATATTTATGTATTGATATTTTTAGGGAAGATGAACTTAAAAATTAATGTTGCTATTTCCAAATAATTAAAACAATTACAAAAAATATACTAAAAGTTTAAATATTTTTACAAACATTTTACGACTTAAAATTGTCTAAAATAATTTTTATGAAAACATTAAATTCAACTTATAAATATGAGTTTAAAATTTAAGAAATCACTACGAATGTGTTGTGATGATAAAATATTAAAGTAATGGAAACGTGGGACAAGATTTTTTTGTTTTCGTTCACTGCAAGTGACGGAGGCATTAACATTCCTGTGTAGTTGGTAACAACGTTAAATTCTAATACCTACGTGGTTGATTATAAAATAAATTGAAAATAAAAAGGCTGTCGTTTTCAAAGGCCAGATAAAAATAAATATTCGAAGCGACGTTTTGTTTGATCGTAATAATGTAACGTCGAAACTCGAAATAATAATATAAATCTAACATATTATACAAAGCGTTTACGCAGAGGGTGTAAAAATTACTTATTGTAAGTAGTCTTATTTTGTGACCCTAGTGCTAGTATAATATACTGGATGTTGTGTGTTTGCGATTTCCCGAACACACACATTTGATTGCCTACGACAATTTATAAAACGCATATAGGGCGTATCTCATCAATATGTGAACTATTGCAGGCTGCTGCTGCTACTGCTACATCTTCGGTCAACCGTAGACTTAAGCGGTGACATGATTTATCGTCCAGCGACTTTTGTCTCGACGTTTCCACTTTTTAGCGACGATTTTTTTTGTAACAAAAACGTCCGCAAGAATAACTGTTGAGTATATTTTCTCTCGGAAAAAAATCCCACACACGACTAACACTATACTACAGTTTTACAAGTAACTTTTCTTATATATCTTACTCTTTCTTTCCATCCCTCTCTGCACCTCTTTCTCTCTCTCTCTCTCTCTCTCTCTCTCTTTCTCTCTTTCTCTCTCTCGGTCTCTCTCTCTCACTCTCTCTCACTCTTCCTGCCTTGTTACTATGTGGACTGTAGTTTTTCGTTGTTTGTATTTATTTTATATGACATATATGTATGTGTACATGGTGACTCACTATAAGTGCGGTTATAATTTTATAAAAGAGAGGGATCGTCGTAGGGCTACTATATATTACGCCGTTTGAAATACAGGGAACTTCTCTCTTAAAACGTGTTAAGCTATTAGAATTGTACTTATATACGTGTTATATAATTTCGTAAAACTGGAAACATTTGTGACATATCACGAATAATATTAGTCGTAATGAAATCGAACATTACAATCTTGGAAACGAATAATAAGTTATTATGGATATCAATGGATAATATAACAATTACTGTGATCATACGATATTATAATAAGTTTTTGTGAGTAAAATTGCTCGCAAAAACCGAATATCGATCTAACTCGCGGCTGTATTACGTATTTGAAAAAGTAAAGTAATTTATATCCAGACGTGAGCTTTACAGAGATTAAGACGTAGTTGCTAATATTTATTATGTTCGCGTACTACGCGTTGCGATCACTTTTCACTTTTAATAAGTACAGAGAGAACTACCTTATTGAAATTGGAGAAGATATTAAATTGATTAATGATGTAGTCATGTGGTTTACCGTTGTGTAGTTGCATTGAGCAAAGGGATTTAAATATGGACCAATAAGACGTCATTATTACAGCAGCGGAAACATAATAACTACGTATACTTATGTATAGGGTGATTATTATCATCATAATAATTATACTATATCAGTATCCAGTCTATTGTACCACTACAATAAATAAGAAACATAATTATAGGAATAGTTATGGTTAATGATATAGTCGAGCAATGAAGTTTTAATCAATTACACAAATACAAGAAAAATAACCATCTACAAATAGAAGCAAATCATAATAATATATATAGGATTCATAAATTAACATTTATACCACTTATGCAATAATATAGTTACAATAAATTATTAAGAAATGTTCTGGGAGCAATCTATTAATTTCGATGAATAGTTAAAATAATTATTATTTATTCGTTGATAATTTGCAATAGTTTTAGTTGTTACTACGGTGACCTGTGCAATAAAATACCCACATGACCAATTTAGCGTACGTTGTCGCGTTTCTCATCACTTCGTTTCAATACACCGAAAATTGGGCTCAAATTTTTATAAAATAAACACACTTAAAACAGTTCGTAGAATTAAATTATTGCCATGTAATTGAGACATAAGTTCTAGAAATATCGAAAAAAAACAATAGGTTTTATTGATGGTACGAAGTTACTGCCGATGACTGTAGACATAACATTAGAAGCGTTGCTTAACTGTCATTCACTCGAAACGAACATTACATTTTTTACAATATGTACGAATGATACGCCTCTGATATTTTTCTGATTAAAAAAACAGACGTATACCTTTTATCAAAGTTTAATAAACTAATTTAAATTGTTCTTGGCAAATACGAAATATGATTTGTATGTGCAGAACTTTTGTTCTCACTTCAATTGTATTATAGATTTAACTTTTTCGTGAACATGTACTTACTCTCAATCGTAATTTTACGTTATAGTATACTATATACTCTTATACGTATACTCCTCGTACATACAACATGTTATTCATTTGCACCGTTGAACTTAATGAGTCTAAATAAATTTATGTTTATTGACGAATGTGAAAACTATAAATTAAATATTATAAACACATTACAAGATTTTAACCTTTTAACAGTATTATGTTGTTTAAACCGCCTGAACTAGAGTTATTTCAAAAATTTAAAAATGCATAGCAAGAAATGAATAAAACTGTATTAACATGGTATTTAACTAGAAATAAGAATTACGACATAACAAATCAGTCATTTTTGGGCTATAATTAGAAACAAATTTTCAATTCCAAAAAGCGACTGATTTTTTTATATATATATATATATATATATAAAATAATATACGATGAATATAATAATTATAATCAATGTAAATCGTTATAGATTTGTAATAATTAATAAATATATGGTATGTACCTGTTTTCCGTTCCGTTTGTGTTGAGCTTGTATAGTTGCATATTGGGCATGGGAAACACTCTGGAAACAGTGCAAGATATGTTGACCATTTCCTGGTTTTCAGTCTTCGTGCGTTTCATGTGCATGTGTTGGCCTGGTGCTATGAAACGAAAAACAAATAATTAGTGTCGACGAGGGAAAAAAATTATTAAAAATGAACTTTGTGATGTACCCAATGTATAGGTCGAGTACCAAACACTGTGATTTATTAGTTAGTTAATAAAAATAATAAAAATATAAAGATAATATAACTATGCAATTGTGAATAAACTCGAATTTCTAAATGTCTTTGTATTCGATGATATCTATGAATAATACAAATGGATAATCTAGAAAATATATATATTATTCAATGAGTCGTCGATTTAACGGATTGCCACTTTAACTTTTCAGATAGATGGAGTGATTAAATAGTCTGCGATGTACAAAATTATTCTAAGAACAATAATTAATTCATCTGTCCGATCTGTATATTTTGATAATACAAAACTGACAAAGATTCAAAAACGCGATATTTGCCGTTGTTTCTGATGCAATCCTGATTGCATTGTCATTGTTAGTTTCAATATTTTTGTATTGCAGAGCCTAAGATGAATGCGACTTCGTACTACGTAATTCTGTCATATGTTTTTAAACTATCCTCTAGAAAGCGGTAACTATATGAATTAATTTTAAAAACCGAATGGTATCAATACTTAGAAATATTTAGAAAAATAAATAAATCGAAGAATTTCGATTTTATATATTCATATGCCGATTCACAAAAGATTTTAACATGAATATTTTTATTTCAAGACAACCGAGAGGTTTATTGATTTTACAATGTTTTTTTGAGAAAAACGATAGATATTATTTTTCTTCCACAAACACTTTTCTGGTAGTAAATCTGGATTATATTCTTATGGATGTAATTTTAAACATTTATCATGTGCCATCAATAAAAATCAACGATCGGGGCAAACTATTTTCTATAGTTGCCAAAATGAAAAAAAGAAATTTGGAATTTGTAATTTGACGACCTTATTTTTTCTACTTAGATATTTGTTAAATAAATTTACCTATCTTAATTGTTTTTTAAAGTTTTTAAAAAATAATTAATAGGTACTATTACTTCTATGTTTATTTGTTGTTTTTTATACAAGATTCAGACTGAAGGCACAATTTTAATATAAGAACTATTTGTATTGTTATTATTAATACTTATTTTATATGGAGTAGGTTTTAAATATATATATTAAATAAATATTTAATTCAATTTGGCACTTGTATTTTTATTTATTCATTCGAATGAGCTACAGGAGCATGAGCTGTAAATAACTAACCAGGGGCATACCCAGGAATTTTTTAGGAGTGGTCCAAAATTTTTATTTTATCTGTTCTCTAATTATAATTATAGTTTAATTCAATACCAACAAATTACTGTTAATAACTATAGTAATAGTTACAATAGTAGTTATACACATTATACTTACTCTGCACAAAGTTTTACTATAATAGGTACCTAGGTACTATAATTTGAAATCAATTTTTATTTGGTAGTAAAACGTTATAAAAAAATACATTATTTAATTAACGATTATAATTTTAAAAAAAATCAGTATAAATTAAACATGGTTTATACATTATAGGTATATTATATAATATAAACTTTCTATATTGATGATAATGGGAAATTAAAATACATTATATACTATTTACTATTAAACCATTTAGTATGTAGAATTCAATGGGTGGTTCGGACCCGAAACCCCCTACCTCTTGGGTATGCCCCTGTAATAAACTGTAAATTATTTTTAAGTTTGTATTGAAAAAAAATTAGTTTCCCCCCCCCCCCCCATGGCCTCAACTCAAATACGCCCTTGCAGCGTATGCGCACAACCCATATTATAAGATTGCGTAGTTTTATGAAATAACGAAATCAATCGTTTGGGCTGCTCGTCAGTTGTATATACACATACGTATGTATTATGTATTTGAATTAAAATATTCAAAACATAAAAATACTACCCATCTATAATTTTTTGTCCGTAAATAGATGTGTATTAACGGGTGCATACACAAGGAGGATTTTAGGGGTTCAACCGCCTTCCCGAAGTGTAAGAAAATTATTAAAAACGTTTTTATACAGTAAAATATAAATAGCGTAAGTATGAAAATGTACGACGTAAAACCCTTGCTCGAAAAAAAATTGTTTAGTGCACGCGCCTTTGTACCAGGCTGTTGCTGTTGTACTACACATTACATTTCAGGCCCGGTTATGTGCGATACCATGTCGCGGGGGCACGCGAACACGAACCTAATGAGGGCTACAACGTTGTAAATCAACAGGTAAACCGTTCAGCTGCCGCGCAAAGACGATATCATTACGTAAATTCAGTCGCAATATGACCGCGATGTTTTCGCCCGAGGAACGAATGGCACACAACCCTATGAGCACGTGGTGCAGTTGTTCATCTGCGATATGGAATAATATTCGCGTGACATCGTGGCGCAACCCCTCGATCGTTTATCGTTCGATCATCGTCACTGCGATCACGACCGCGACCGTCGGACGTGCCAAACACACGGGAACACGTTTATTGATATTTGTCATTGAATGTATATATAATGTCATGTTCTTTTTTTTTTTTTTTCAAATATTTTATTTCGGTTTTATTTTTTTTTTCCACATAATCTATCTTGCATAGCTATATTATGTACACCGCGGTGCGCGGCATCCCGCTGTCGCCGCCACCGCTTATCCATCTACGTCCGATACGGCTTAAAAAAATTGTCACCCCTGCACACGTTTTATCGCATGTATACCGTGTGTTGGGTGTACGGCGTAAGCTTATATAACAATTTATGACTATGTATAGTGTGTGTGTTTACAACGGGCGCGAGTGTGAATGATTCGCACGTCAAAAAAGACCATCAATCAAAAATTCGGGAGGAAAGTAACCGAACGTTTTAGCTTGTAATCGAAAACAACACTCCGCCGCGCAGCGGCAGTAGCAGCAGCAGCAGCAGCAGCAGCAGCCGTCTTTTCCTCCCCGAAAACAAATCCAATCGTCGTCGTCACCCGTCGCAGTCGCGCGTGGTCGTCGATGTATAATGTATACGTGTGCACAACACCCTTACCTCGTGCGGCCGCCACCGCCGCCGTCGTCGAAATAACAAGAAATTCCAATCGAGTGACCTGCACAAACACTCATACCACACGTGTGCGTTACAACCGCGAGCGTAGGTACTTGTACGTGTATGTATGTGTGTGTGCGTGTGTGTGTGTGTGTGTGTGTGTGTGTGTGTGCGTGTGCGTGGCTATTTTCGAACGTAGTCTAATCGAAATCGTTAGGTTTCGCATTTTCACACGTCAGTGTTAAGAATTCCTGTGCTTCCAGCCGTGTGTACGACACGATGCGCACACTTCGAACTTCAAACTTCGAAATTTAATCGTCGCTCGAATCGTACAAAGTATTCGTACGTAACGTGCGGGGACGTAAACCCACAGCATACATTTGATGCAAAGTAAAACGGGAATCAGACGTTTTCATGATCTTTGTAAATTAACGGAGCTAAAATATTAGTCGTATATCGGTTGAACAGTATCGAAATTGAAATTAAGCGTAAGATTGGTGGCCACTAATCATTGTTACAGCATCGTAATTATCGGAGGAATAAACGCAAAGGAGTGTTGACCCTGAGTGTTAAATTTTAAAGAGGTTAACAAAATTAAAACTAAGGAAATAATTCCGTACTACAAATTTACATTAAAATACTTGCAAGTCACACTGGAATCGGCAGTCGCAGATCCGAAGTTATACGATGTGTTGAACGAGTTAACTTAAACACTTCGTTTAGGGTACGCTTGTGCATCGCTGAGATGATTTAAAAATTACACTAAATATTTTTCCATCAATTGAGAGATTTTTACGATAACTTAGGTGAATTATTCTAATTTAGCTTACTATTCTTCCAGACTTTCTATGAAAATAAGAGAATTTTTTTTTTAAAAAATCCTTAGAAAAACTCGCAAAATTAGACACACTTTTTTGTATTGAAATTTTGATAAATTATGATCAAAAATATCATCTTAAAATTTTTATCATGTTTTATAATGGTAATGGATTATTTCTGTAACTTCAATTTATATTCAAAGTTGCTTATACAAATTATTTAAAATACTTTAACCTTAACTCTTTCTTATTGAAAATATTCTTGCCGATATACTATAAGCTTACAAAAAACAAAGAATTTTATAAAATTTCAAACTTTAAAGTATCGATGATCTTTTGCAAAACTTAATATTAGTGAACACAATCTTTGTTACTATAGTTGTAGAACAAAAACGAAAGGAATTTCAAAATTGATGACAACTTTGAAATACGAAACGGTAAATTATGCGATGTAATATATTCAATACATTGAAATGGTTGATTCGGAAGAACAGCGATGTTTAACGGTTTAACGGTAAACGTTTATTTTATATTTTCAAAAAACAATTTATGAACAAATATTCGAAACAATCTCTAGACGTTGCCGCGTCCTATTTTAATATAAAAAAATATCGATTTGAAACTTTTCGAGATGCTTTTAATTTTTTTGGCTGAGGAAAACATTGCTGAAATTTAATAACTAAACGGTGTGTAAAGGATTCTTCAGTGTTTTCTTTTTTTTTTTTTTTTTACACGGTTTATACATCGATTCTGAATTGTTATTGAAAAACAAGAAAACACCAAACTGCTTTTGTAAACTTTGTGAATTTTATCGAAACAAATATCCAATGTACACCACAGTACTACTGTGCTTTTCATCCATGGTATGATATGAGCTCTCACGGTGAGGATTGAGCAAAAATACGATAGTAATCTTCCTGTGAACGTGTTATTCCAATAAGGTGCAAAATCATCGTGCCACAAAAATGTATACTATTATGTCATCGATTTGGTATGAACTATGGTGTAAGTTTTTGGAAAATGTGCCTAAATGTATTCCACCTCTTTAATAGCATCAGGTGGATAGACGATTGATCGATAATGACAATATATGCACGTATTATAATATAAAATGGCCAGAAATATGTAAATATATATATATAGCTACGATGGTTAATGTTGACTAAAAAAAAAAAATAAAATAATGTTCATGCATGTGCAAACAAAATGCAAAATGCGTTTACAATATATAGTGTGTTAGAGCATTGTTCCGCATGGGAATTCAGAAAAAGTCGTTCAAAAAAACGCAAGAGAAATATTGCTGCTCGATGACATATTGCGATGTTTGCGTTTGTTTTCGTAGAGAGGAATTATAAGTAAATAATTCACGTGATACACAAGATAATGGTTATTTGAAATCGGTAAATTGAAATGTATTCCTTGACTCGTGCAAAAGCTGTATCGATGTACGGTTCCGTTCGACTATATGATTTTGTCGAGCAAATAAACACAATACCTCATTATCGAAAATATTTCAAAAACGAAAATATGATTTTATGAAACAACACTATTAAAGAAGCTTTCATCATACAAAAAAAAAATATATATAAAATATGTCAGTGCTAGAAAAAAAACTGTGTACGTATTATATTAAACTATAAATATATGTATATTAATACATTCAAATAATGAACCTCTTTTTAACTAAATACTTTTTCCACACTTTATGAGTAGTATCAACAAATATTTTTGTGTGGTTCGAGTAAGATTCTAATAATAAGGTATTTTAGCTAAGTTTGAAGATGTCTGTGATCGTTAAAAAAGAATTATAAAATAATTTCGACCTTTTCAAGAATAAAATGTCGATAATTAACAAGAAATAATAATGGAATATTTTTATAAGGTTTTAAATGATAGATTTTAACCATTTATAAGGAACCAATACCTCCCGAATAATGGTCGTTTTGTCATATTAAGTGAGTAAATTCATTGCAATAGTTTTAAGAGTGGCAAAAATAAATTTTATTTTAAGGGCATTTAATATTTGATTTAAAAGAAGAATAAATAATAATTTCACAATATTCTTATAACAAATAAAAATGATTTTAAAAGGTCTGACGATATTATACGACGACAAGAAAATCAACATTTGTAAAGAAATCCGTCAAATGGCGATAAAAAATCGTTCGGGTCACTTATATGAATATCAGCGTTTATACAAAAGGAATAGACTTCAAGCCCAAGAATCTTGAGAAATAAAATTAACGAGTACAGTAAAAACATCTGTTGGACTCGTAACACGCCGACTTTATAATAATAAATTCAGAACCAGTACCGCGTTGGAATAATAAAAATCAATTATTTTAACGTTACGATATCATTGTGTTCGAGGATTACAAATAATATTTAACGGTTCACGCCGTTTCTCCCACGCGCTTTTCACATTGTCAGTGAGCTTCGTCAGACAACGCAGCGCCCCTTCCATCTGTCGATTGTGCTTGTGCGACCTCGATCATGCACCATCACCGATAACCATAATAACCATGACCATAACCGATCATGCACCAACGACGCCCGACTGTCTATCTGTGGTCCGGTCCTTTCTCGTTCGGTGCTGAGCTCTCTGGTGTCGGTGGCACGTTTTTGCTGAGCACCGTGACTGTATTTCAAGTTCATCACGTGGACGGCCATTTTATACGTGTGGGCTGTGACTCAGACATTCGTACAACTAGGAGCAAACCAGCCAAGAGCGTCGTCGTGGGTCGAGGACCGGTGCCTGGAACGTGTTGCTCGCTATTCCTGTTTTACGAGCCACTTCCATTCGTCGACGAAGTCATCTACCGGCCCTGGTGGTTGTCGCACTTGCATTAAGCACGGTTGCGTGGGTAAGACCGAGCACACCCCGGGCCGTCCGAGATATGAACGCTCGCACGCGTAACATCAGTTTATTTGTATTATATATACTGCATTGCCGTGAGATACTTGTTGTATTTAATTATTTATATTATTATTAGTGTGTTATTTATCTGTTTATTATTATATTATTTGGTACATCAGTGCACTCCTAAGTGTCGGTATTATTCATTATTATAAATTATTTCTTGTTAATGGTCACCCGTCCTACAGTGCAACTCTAATTTAAACATCTGGGCAAATTTAAAACCACGTAAGTGCCGTCGCCAATCAAAGCCGACCGCTTTCACCCGTAGGAGCTTTGTTAGTACACAGAATACAGTACACAAAATACGAAAAAAAAAAAAAAAAAAAAAAAAAATCCAAAGAAAAAAGAAAAATTGAAATATTTCTAAAGTGTTCGATCGAAGCTAAAAAATATCGTGACCAACCCTGACGAAGGATTCGAAATTCACTCACTTCGCGCAGGTCCGTTTACCAAGTCGTTGGTTGCCTACAACGGTAGATAGTTCGCACCTAGGCTAGTAAAGCGTACAAGGATATATTATGAATCGTTCTCACCATAAACCGTCATCTTCTTGATCATGAAATCCTCGTCGGTGTACGTAGACACCACGCACTTGTAGTCGCCGCTTAGCTCGATGGTCGGCCGGATGATGTACAGAGCGCGGTACTTGGCCAACGCGTCGTCCGTGGGAGCCGCATAGCCCAGGTTGATCCGGCTTCTCAAGGGCCCGATAGTCCGGGGCGGCTGACCTGGTATCCACTGGTAAGTGGGGCTGGGACTGTTGTTGAAGTACCAAGTGACCACCAGCCCTTCCGTCTCGTCCGGCTTTACTTTGTACACGCAATCCAGTACCACGTACTCGGTACCGTTGAGCACCGCACCCGGCACCCTTTGATCCGTTATCTTAACGCCATTGGACAGCGCTGTAAGAACACACACACACAAACACACGTGTAATCGTTTTTAATATGTAACAAATATATAGCTATAGCTTGTCAGCTGTGTCCGTGGACAAAGGCACCGATTAGAGGTACTTGTCAACTGAACTCATTTTAATAAAAGTATATATACTAATTCTGAATCCGAGCAGAATTAGGGTATGGTTGTATAATTTTAGAAATCCGGTTTTCTATATTTTTTTTCACGGATAGTATATGATTTATGAAACGCGAATTAATCTCTCCTATGTGTTAGTAAAAATATTTACATGTTTTGAATTATTGTTTTTTTTTTTTTTTGCGTACCTACATTAAAAAAATATTGATCGATAATAATAATATTGTAATAATTTAGATTATAAATTTTAAAGTATACAAAAACAAAAAAACTGAACTTAAATATCTGGAACATCACAGAAGATGTCAGCATATTATTTAATCGTGATGGGAAACAATGTTCTATTTTTAAATCGTATCTGGATGAATAAAAAAAGCCGAAAAAAATGCGTGTGCATGAAAACCGTAGTATGTGTATAAATTAATATCACTCCGTCATCATCCCTCTCTAGAAAACGCCACTAAGTGTGTTAGCACAGCAACACAGCTTTTGACAAAATCGTTTGGAACGTCCGGCTTTTCTACGGCTTTAAACAACGAGACCAGTATGCCCCATTAAGTCCGACCTGTTAACTGAGTCAAACAAGATCACCTGACGCACGAAGGGACATGCTAGGGGGTGACCGGCCTCCCGGTGTGTAGATCTCGTCGGTCATCGGTTGACCATCGTGCGTCACTATTAGCTGAACAGCGGCTTTCACTAAAGATCTACGTAGCACGCACCGTCCATAGAGACGAGTCATCTGCAAGACCAGTGAGATATTCGCAGGGCATTCAATCTCAGAAAATACGGCCACGTGCATATGCGAATAGGCGGTTATCAGTGACGGCGCCAAGATGTTTTACTAATCAGGGCTAATGAGAGACTAAAAATTGTAAAGTCGGGAATCCATGCAAAAACGATAACGTATTTATGTATTTATTAACCATAAATAAAAATTATATAATATAAGACACGAATTTAGATTGTGGGTAATGTTGTAATTAAGTAATTAATAAATTATGGTAATTAAGTATTTCCATATTTCCACGGTTTTTTCTTTTGTTAATTAAAAATTACCAAATTGTTATGTTAAACGTTGTACCAGTGTCCTGTAATGGCCAAGAATTTTTGGGTAAGATTATAGCTTTACTATGCCCACCACTGACGGTGACTCAAACGTACGAACAGCCACCTGTCATTCGTTGACGTCTTGATCAGATTTGAGAATTTCCGTTGATCACGGCTGCCCCCATACTACGAGAATACGGCCACATTTTACGAAATCGTCACGTTCGATGGTAGTAATCACCGCAACAGTTCGTTTTGTGTCATGTTCGTTCAACTCTTTCCTCGCGCCACGTGGTAATATTCTATATTCTGTCCTATATGTTCTAATAAACTGCAATCACGGACCTTATCTAGAAAATTAATCAGTTGGTGTCTCCTAGACATATGAAATACTCTATAGGGACCATCGTTAACTGTAGAGAAGTAGAAAGAAAGAGTTATAATGCATATTATATTTTATAATTCAAATATTTGGTACGAGCAACATCCAACCCTACAAATGTGCGAAAACCACTATTGAGAAAGTAATTGTCATTTCCACGACAATCAGTAATTGAAATCATAGACATAATGCTTCAAAAGAACTTTTCACAGCGCGTTAGGTTACAAATTTGTAACGTTGATTGCAAAACAAACCATTACGATTATGTCTGTTGGATTTCGTTCTAACACTGATATACACCACGTAATCACTTATTCAAATAAAATAAATGATTTCGATTCTACCCACGTTTATGTCACTCCGAAATGTCATGTTCTGTTTGGACCAATTTGAAAACCAATCGAACGAGGTACAATCGTATACATATATCGTATAATTATATCTTCTGCAGCATTGCGCGCGAATATCAAATATAAATGCGACGTTGGTTCTGCATAGATAATATGCACATAGTGATTTCTGCAAATAAAACGAATCAACTGCATATTAACTGTCGAATAAATGTATACATGTGTATATGCGTGAAAAGCGTCCTCGTTTCGAGTAATTTATAATTCATCGGCTCTTTTTTTTTTCGACATTATTAATAATATTGCACGTCGGTGGTAAACGCGCGAGGGTTAGATACATCCTGCGTGGGGAAGAAAAATCATTAATAGTTTTAAGTTCGAAAACGATTACCCTGAAAGCTTTTTTTTCGTCTATTGCCGTCGTATAATATGCGATCTCTGCAGCTGTCATTTTGCTCACACTGCACCTAAATATATATATATACACACTCGTACATTGCTATAACTTACGGCAGCTAGTATTACCTACCCGTCACAATAGTGATAATAATAATATCCATATTACGTAGACATCGTATTTCAATATTGCCTCCGCGGTCTTAAAACACAATAGAGCGTTTTATTGCATTATCTGTACATACTCGTAATACACGTATCCGCACGAGTCTTCCCCGTAAACTACTTGATAACTACTTGATATCTAGCTTCATTTACGCTATTTACGAACCCTATGTTAGCACGATATTATCATCCCGTATCTCGTTTAGGTACCCTAACTAAACTGTTAGGAAAAATTTACCAATATTGTTTTTCGTTGTGAAAAATTGTAAATCAAAAAATCAACACGGGAATCCAGCAGTCTATAAATCTATATTGTATAATTTAATTATTTACTACTCTTATTTATCTGATTCAGTTAGTAATGGTATCCAACCACGTGGATACAATAAAATGTTCCGATATTAGAATAAATATTTGACACTATTGATAATATTTCAATTAATACAATTCGAACAATAACAGTCTAATTTTATCATGGTTTAAACCATATTTCGTCGAACTCACCTCAAAACATATCATATAAATGAATTTCCACTGAATTTCATTGTTACCAAATTTATTATAGAAATTTGAAGGAAATTCATGTTTCTCCCTGGATTATTCATTGAATTCTAAAGTAGAGTGTCTCAAAATAATGTTTTTAATTTTTTTTAATGTTCCGAATATCACTTGATGCTCCAGTTTCAAACGCGAGCAGAATTACTAAGTGATCGTGCGGGTTAACCGACTATGTTAATATTGGAAAATAAATTGAAATTATTTGATTTTCTTTTTTGGTCCTCTTCATAGGTATTGTATAGTAATATCATTATAACTATGTTTATTACTTAATTTGAATTTGATAATTGTATACATGCACTATATTATTACACATTTGTATGGCGTCACGTTTATAAATGCACTTTATGCAATTTATAATTCGAATATTATAACTTAAAAACGTACGCATATCGCAGAGCTGGCAAACTTAATTGAACCCTCATCACGTTACATGTATAAATTCTCCATTATCTCAAACTTATAATTGGATTTCACGAGTTATTAATCCGGTTAGAGCGCATAGCCGAGTACGTATACGTATTTATTAGTTATCACTAGGTAGTTATAGATATTTGACAATTCGTTGAACAGCACTGCACACGCGACAGACACTTGTGAAATACTGAATACATTTGTATCGCATTGATCTACCCAATCGTATTCATAATTATTGTAATGTAATACACTACTATGTACACCGAACTATCCGGAAACACGGACATGGTATATATGTGTTTGGTTTAAATGTATAGCCTATACATACAGTGCAGGGTTCTGACAATTTGATCTTTGTTGCAGTGACGTTTGGAATATCATTAATGTTTACTCGAATTCACAACATTTGCGTTTAAAATATGAATAAATAACGCAAAACACTGTACATAGCACGGATAATACGCTGCAAACTTTCACACTCATGACATTCTATTCTTTCTGCGAAGCCGTTCATAAAATTGAAATCAAATGGAAATTCCGTTTTTGCAAATACGTTTGAAAATAATTATGCTATTCATTTTGAAAACGTTTGACTTTTTATTTTTTTCGATACATGTTCTATACGTGAATATCATGAAAATATAATACAGAACTTTTTTTTATTTACTTCTTCGGTTTATCTGTGTTTCATTTTTTTCCGCATATAGTGTGCATGATTGATTTTGCGGTAGGATGTAGCAATAATAATGATGGTGGCGACGGCATCGGCATCGCGGTGGGTAAGTCGAATTCTAACCCCTCCAAACCCGCCAAGTAAAATGAACACGCGTGTATACTACTAGTTTCTGAAAAATTCAAAAACTGTAAATCCTTTACGTATGGACCACGGGACCTACATGATAATAATATGTTAAACGGATATTATCAGAATACATCGGATGGATGCCTGTTATATCTATGCATATAAGTATATTTATATCGATAACGTATTACAATAACGTGGGCAAATAATATATTCCGCAGCGATATTATTTAGAAAACCAGACCACGTGTAAGACACATTTATTTTAGAGGCGAGAAAAAAATACTAGTACTTGCATAACTTGATGGCTTATAAGGACTCAAGACGTCAAGGGGTCGGGTGAAAAGGATTGTCTAATAATAAATCGACTCGCGTGGCCATAGACAGCGGAAAAATAGGCTCGGCGGTGGCGAGGTGAAGTGGCAGAGTTTCTGTACGCACCTTTGAACAGTCTCAAATCTGCTGCACGCGTGTCCCGATAGAGTCGATTGCTGCCGCCGGTACAAACCCCATTCGCGATATGTCCGGAACGGAAAACTATACGTACGTACATATGATACAATATTATATACCTGTAATCGAACAATGTGTTTTGTGTGAAAAGAAATTAGTTCGAGGCTCGGACGTAACGTGATAGTATTATGATCTTCCGAAGAGTGCAGAAGCCCGCGATAAGAAGAAGTGGAGTTATAGAGATCAAAATATAAAGGCAGAGAGGGATAGAGAATGAGAAATGAAAATTAATAT